TCTCTCTCTCTCTCTCTCTCTCTCTCTCTCTCTCTCTCTCTCTCTCTCTCTCTCTCTCTCTCTCTCTCTCTCTCTCTCTCCCCCCCCTCCTTCCCCGGCCCCCCCTTGAGCTGTGCTGAAATAGTGCCGTTCGGGGACATACAAGGTGTTGCGAATTTCCAGAATATGCATTTACACACTTGATTGATTGAGATGACATCACACTTGGTCGTAACTCACATACAATGGCAATTGAACAGTCGCGTCGAAAAACAAGAAAAACATGATGTGTTACGATCCTGGTCATTCCCAAAGTGCAAATTCACAATGAAAGACGATGCACTCAATTGCGAAAGAAATGAAAGCACTTGCAAAGAGATAGAGACCAAAGAAGAGAGAAAGAAGAAGAAGAAGAAGAAGAAGAAGAAGATGTGCACCAGCAAGACCAAGACCAATGAAGTGCCAGATGACTTCCCGGATGGAAGTCGGAAGCAGCGCCACCTCTCCTGACAAGATGATCTCTGAGGAAGAAGCCGCAGCTATGGCTGCAGCGCCATGCACCCTGTAACCCTACTCCGGAGGAGGGTCCAGCAGGGCACCAACTTCTCTCGCCTCCAGCAGATCAAATAGCCTGGACCTCTGACCAGCCCCCGCGTGCTGTCATTGTACAGCGTCAGCCCCAGCTATGGCTGACACTCCGCAGGTCCAGCTATGGCTGACACTCTGCAGGTCCAGCTATGGCTGACACTCCGCAGGTTCAGCTATGGCCATCTTCTCCAACGCTGAAGCTGTCACCACTTCCAGTTCATGCGTTGGACAGCAGCAATGTACATGGTACCAACTGCCAAAAAATCCTGAACCGATCCCCCCATTCTATCTATACTCTACTCTAGCCTAGACACGACCTAGACCGGACTGGTAAGGCTGACCGGTACCGTTTCAGTGTCGGCCTCTAGGGCCTCTCCCTACCCGGCTATATGCTAGAGGACCGTCTATCAGCTTAGGCCCGTAGGGCCTGTCTGTCCTAGGGGTAGCCCGGGCCTGCTATTCGCAGTTAGGATAGCTGTAGGAAATTCTAGTTAGTACGGCCCTATATTTTCCTGAATTTGCAGATATGTCCCTCTCGAATTTTCCTTACAGGCGGGTCTCTCGGTTAGCCCTCAGCCAAACAAAATTACGAATCTGACCTACCTATAGTACAGCCTCGACTCAACGGCCTACAGGCCATCAAAACCAGCAAGTCATTGCAGGGCTGCTCGCCATAGCCAGGCTGAGCGCCCAGCTGCTCTTCCCCTCCAGGCAGCGCTTTCCAAGTCCAGCGCTTGGCTCCAGCAGCATGTCGCCAATCCTTGCATACCGCAAACGAGGAGGAGCTGCTTGCTCCTCCTGAAGATATAGCGGCCTACTGGCCTCTTGGGCGGTGACTTCCTAGGCCGAGCGGCCTCCCAGCAACCGGTACCTTCTCCCTTTCGGAGGGAAACATCATTGCAGGCTCTGCTATCGTCCGGACAGGCCCTAGACTCTGGAGACTACTTGGTCTGGTACCGGCCTACCTCTAACCTACTGCTACTGGGCCTCTAAAAATGCCAACTTTTTATCTTCTTCTGCTCGGCCTCCAGTACCCGATACTCCTATCACTACTTGAGTGGTACCGGCCTATCTGCTACTTGACTGTTTTTCCCCTGCTCTAAGTGTCGTGGTCCTACTCCCGCTACTTGAGTGTTTTCCCCGCTGCAACCCTCAAAGTCACGGCCAAAGGTAAGTACCGGCCCTGCGGGGCCTTTCAACCAACAAGTACCCTTGCGGGTCACACACACACTCAGCCGACAAGCACTCAGACAGGCACGCAAACCAGCAGGCACACACACACACAGACTTAGAAATCACAGCAGAATGCGGGAATCTCAGCAAGGAATTCATTCCAGCGGCAAATCCCAGAAATCAGCAGTGTTCTCAGTCTGTGTTTTGGCGGGTCATTGCAGATGAAGAATCAAAGGCCCTGCCTCTATGAGCAACATGCAACAATTGGCTCAAGAAACCGTCTAGTGGACAGCAAGTTCTGGCAAACACAGACTGTAAATGCAGGTCCCAGGGAAGACCTTTCCGGCTTCAGGAGAGTACAGGAAAACAAAACAAGTGTGCAAATCCAGGTTCAGATCCTGGGGTAAGAACAAAGACAACAGAAACTTGAAGGGTTGCAAATAATTGGGCAGGTTGCGGGTTCAAATCTTGCAATCCCAACACAAAGACACAAGATCACGAAAAAAGGAGGAATGGAAAAGAGCCCCCATTTGCCTGTAAAGTAAGTTCAGGATGTTGCTCGACCAGCAATTAGCAGTGGATGGAAGTGAAATTAAAAAAAAGAAAAAAGAAAAAAAAGGGAAGAAAGAATTGTGAAAAGCGAACTACGAAGAATAAAGTGGCCAAAAGATGCACTACCGGCGAGATCCAGTCGAATGGATTTTTTTACTGGAAGTCAGAGTCTCTTGGTCTCCTGCAAGGGGGATAGTATGTCCGCAGTGAAGCTGTGCAACACCGATGCTGTGGTGCACGCGTCACTTCTTTAGACAAAGCAATCCCATCCCACCCACCTCTCCCCAGCCCCCACCCCCCCAAAAAAACAGAAAGAAACTTGTCCCTGATCTCATTTCTCATTCGCTCCCGAAAGCAAACCTTGTGGGCGTACCGAGTTGTTTCCGCCAAGGACACCGTAGCAATCATGCACAAATTTGGAAGAAAAGAATAATAATAATACATGTCTTTCTAGCAACGAGCCCAACTCGGTCGGGTACCACCCATGTACTGTTGAAATACAGACATGAGTTCAAGTCCTGCCGAAGCTTGATGAAGGGAGGGAATAGATCATTCTGACTTACCTAGAGCCGTTCCGATCAATGAAGATATTCCAAGGCCGTCGCCCTTTTAAAAGAAAAAACCTGCGTTTCTGCTCCCCTTCCCTTCTCTCCCTTGATCCCGTTCCCTCCCTCTCCGTTGTTACAGCCATGAATGCACAGGACGACGTTTGCTCAGTGCTAAATCTCAAGTCATCCGTCAAATGCGCATCCTGACGATGGATGGAGAGAGAGAGCCATGTGATGGGACCTTGTGACAAGTTGGTGAAACTGCAATGGAAGTTTGTGACAGTCTTCCTTTCTCACTGGAGTTGTGTTGAGTGAACATGACAACACGCACCTGATGTGCACTGTGCAGCGAACCCCCAAGCGGGGTGTACCTTGGCGTCAGTGATGACTCTCTAGGTGGCCTATTCTTTGGTGTCAACCTTCCCAATATTAGCTATGGACACGTACACGCTAAATGAATCTGGACATTTTCCTTCTTTAACTCTTTGAGTGCTATAATATCTTTATCTATCTATCTATCTATCTATCTATCTATCTATCTATCTATCTGTCTATCTATATAAATATGGCCCAAGGATGTGGGGAGGCTTTGACTGATTGGCATTTGTCAGATGCTTCTACCATCTGCTCTTTTGTGTACCAGGTTGGGAAATGGAACCATCTTTGGTGCCAAATGGAACTCTGCCAAAATGGAAGAGGAAGGGCTACAGGTTTCGGAAAAGCTGAAGCCAGGTGCTTGTAGGTCTTGTAAACGAAGAAAATATTTTAGTTAGCTTTATAAGTAATATTAGGTGAAACTACGCGGGAGTCTCACAAGAACGAGTTATAATTGCAGTATGGGCCAAGATACAGTTTGCAACTGCAGTTGGGGCGATGTATGTAACCCTTAAACATTCATCATTGCAGATGGCTACGAAGCAGTTCCCTATGGAGTGAGTTTTTCCGGGTGCTGAGCTGGACGGATGCTTATGACCTGTCTTCTATACGGGATAGAAACACCAGTCGCTATAGGGGTTCAGAAACAGGCTGAACTCGGGGCGTCAGTCGCTCACGTTCTCGTTTTTTTTTAAGAATGACTCGGCAGTGTTCCCGAAAACCAAGATCCGACGTTGCGATGTGCTGAAGAAAGCAACAGGTTTATGGTTGTTGTCGGATATCGTCGGGGTGTCGGCATCGCGCGTGTCTGGACGAGCTGGGGAGGCTACTCGTTAACAAAAGTCCATGCTTTTGCCACTGCAGGGAAAGCCTCAAGGTTTGAACCACCGTTAGCTTATCAGGAGGAATGGCTTGGCAGGGTCCCTGAAAACCTGAAACTCAGGTTGGAATGTGCCGGGGGAAGCAACAACAGGTTGGTTGACGTCCGAGTCGTGTCAGCGTGTTATGTTGGCCACTTCCAGGGCAGGCCTGCTGATTTAAATCACCATTAGCTCCTGAAAATTTGGGTCAATCCCTTCCACAAACAGAGAAAAAGAACTTGCGGCTTTCAGATCGTCAAACCAACGGGCCAACTGCAAAAGGGTTGACCTCCTGGTCACCCAGACACAGAAGTGCTGACCAGTTCCTGGTACACGCTTTACGAGGCTGAAGACACTTTTATGAGGCCGAAGACGTTACCTTATATCAGTTGGAAGACTAGATGAAGTTACGACATACACTTTTCAATACCGTACACTTTTCAGTACCCCACGTGCCGGATGACATTATTGGCCATGAGCTATGTTCCATGTTGTCAAGCTTTTATTGGGCCTTGGGAAAGTGTTACTTAGCTTTATTGGACGTTGTGTTTGTGCAAGTGCGCTTGTGCCTCAAGTGGAGTGCAAATGGAACACCGGTGAATTCAAAAGTCGAATCTCCTCGAGTGCATGGTATTGGGGCTTGCCTCCACAACTGGGTGGAGGTTCGTGGAGGGAGTTGATCGTCCTTTATTTGATGGCTTTGCTGTGTGATTGCAGGCTGTTGCGAACTCCACATCTGCAACCTTCTTGCGAGTTGTTGGGAGTGAGCTCATTCAGAAGTACCTTGGGGATGGACCAAAGTTGGTGCGTGAGCTATTCAGAGTGGCCGACGAGCTGTCGCCATCGATTGTATTCATTGATGAGATTGATGCTGTTGGTACGAAAAGGTGAGACTCATTTGTAATTGTAATGCTCCTTCCTCTTCTCTACCCCGCGCCCCCACCCCCCCCCTTTTTTTTTTGCTTTTTCAGAAAGGGTGAATCCTGGGTAGTGCATTGATGAGCATTAGTGTAAGTGGTTTTTGTGAGCTCTACGGGACGGTTGGTGTCATTGGAGGTTGGCAAGTGGTTTTTGTTGCTGCGATGGTAGCAGAACATTCCTCTTTTGTAGTGGTTGCTATGGCTGCTATGGTAAGTGGTGAGTGGTTTTGGTTGATACGGAGCGGACTATGGGAGGTAGCAGAGGGACCATACGTGGGGTCCATCTCTATGCACTGTGATGATTGACATCTGAAGCAGGAGGACATCATGATGACAGCGTGAAGCGGAAAGATGGACAGGAAGAGAAGGTGGCGAACGGAGGTTGAATTTCTGTTGAATCTGTTGTTCTCCTCCAGAAGATGCCTGCTAGCCAAACAAAATAAAAGAAGAAACAGGCAGGGATCATCTCCATTTTGCCCGTAGGACTCTTCTAGACTGCAAGGGCCATGCCCCTCGGAGACATGTCCATATACAGGTGTGATGTGCACCGGATGCTGTGCGAAATTGGCTATTGCCGTCTCACTATGGCTGTGAGATTTCCTGACAATCACCTGGGCATAGTCCAGAGGTGCCTGTCACTAGGCGAAGGCATGGAACCTCCACACCGGAAAGTCCGGCGGAAACGTCATGGATTCTCCAAATGGTGTATGCAGCGATACTTATGTGACGTGAGGTTACTGCGCTTATGGCCTTCCTTTTTCTGAAATGCCAATCCTCACTCCAGCTTAAAGGATCCCCCACATGCTGGCTTTCCCCCACATGCTGGCTTTCTTTAACTGGTAGTAATCTGGGCCAAAAGGCTGGGCCGATCCTCACTCAAGCTTAAAGGATCCCCCACACGCTGGCTTTTCTCGGGTTTGATTCCGACTTGCATCGTGATGATTCAGCTTGGAAGGGCTGGGCCATTAATCTGCCATCGCTGCGTGGAGGCCTTTTTTTGTGGGGGGTCACTCCAATGGTGTGTGATTTGGCCATAGCGTCTGTGATATGTTGCATGGCCGTCACGACAGAGGTCGAGAATGTTTGCTTATGCACCTGCTGTGCCCCAACTTATGGGGCCACGGAGCCTACCTTGGCTGGCTTGTTGCTTGTTGTTAAGTAGGGGGACCGCACGCTCTACTGAGCTATGTCTGCAATCGGATGCATGATGCATCCTACCTGAACTCACTTCACTCTTACCATCTTCCTGTGAGCACTTGGTCTCCTAACATCGTGCGAGGGGGCTTGGGCCTTGATGGGAGAGTGCTGCTACCCATAGGCTAATGGGGCCTATGGTACAGGATCCATTGTTGAGAGGAGGTTTGCTTTCAACACAAAGGTTTGAACCTCCGTAGTCTGCCATGCTGGATGTGAATTGCAGCTTGATCGACAGTATGTCGGATCCTTGCTGGATGTGAATTGCAGCTTGAGAGGAGGTTTGCTTACCACTACTAGTCTACGAGTCTTTCACGCTCGCTCAGCCCACTTGCCTCACTCAGAGACCAACTTGCTCACACTAGCACGTCTCCTGTCCTGAACTAGTTAACGCGTCCAACTGAGCTCAGTCTGCTTAGAGTGAGTAACACATCTCATGACCTTCGGCATTTACCGATGTAGAGAAACCGGTGTGTGGATGGGTGATGAAGTAACTTTTTCATGCACATAGAAAGACGATGATGAGTGTGAGGAACTATACGTCAGTCTGTTGGCTTCAGGGCAGATGCGGGGGTTGCAGGTTGCTACTCCAAGCTAGGGTAAAAGTGGTTGCAGTGCCGCAGGCGAAGACAACATACCCAAGTGATGACCATGTTGAGAACCGGAAAAATTGCTTGTATGCGCTCATAAGTAGTGCATGTGTACATGCTCGTGTGTGTGTTGTGTGTGTGTGTGTGTGTGTGTGTGTGTGTGTGTGTGTGTGTGTGTGTGTGAGAGAGAGAGAGAGAGAGAGAGAGAGAGAGAGAGAGAGAGAGAAGGGGGGCTGGGGAAGGGAGGGGGAAGGAAGGAGCTGTGACTCAGGAGGAAGCAAGGCAGTCGAGGGCTGGGTCAATGGATTAGAAAGAGAAAAGACATGGCTGGCCAGGGCTAATTTATGAACGGTGGCAAGGTATGGAGAGGGAGTCTGTTCAGAATGGATGTTGCTGTCAACAGCATGGCTACCAGCTTTGGCTCAGGCAGCTCCCTTACCATTGTGTAACCCTTCTCGGCCGCCAAGATTGAGAGGGGTCAGTCTAATCTCAAATGCTTTTGCTCCTTGCTGACACACACATTGCATGACCGTTGTACCGCCAGGCAAAGGTTTGGGCAGATGTGACGTGTGACGTGCTTGACTGTGGTTATCCTGCTGTCTTTGCTTGCGTTTGTTGTGTCCTTTGTGTTGTTTCTTTTTGTATTCTCTATGTATTTCTTGCTAATCTTTATGACCATTGTGCTCCTTTTTTGCGTTCTTTTGCGTTCTTTTGCGTTCTTTTGTCTTTCCTTGTCTTCGTTGTGTCCTTGCGTTCTTTTTCCAAAACGCGGCAAAAAAACACAGGTATGATGCGCATTCTGGAGGAGAGCGAGAAATCCAGAGGACTATGCTTGAGCTTCTCAATCAACTTGATGGGTTTGATGCAAGAGGCGACGTGAAGGTTATCCTGGCAACAAATCGAATAGAGAGCTTGGATCCTGCACTGCTGAGACCGGGCCGTATCGACCGGAAAATAGAGTTTCCCTTGCCTGATATCAAGACAAAAAGGCGCATCTTCCAGGTAGGCTGCTGAGCAATGAATGTTGACTCCTGTCACGGGCGTTGATGGGTCAGGTTGATGCTGTAGGAAATTGCTTTGCTCGGGGACCCCCACCCCTAAAGCGGCAGCGGCATCTACTCATGTTCCCCTTGCTTGGTCCATTTGAAGTCTGCTCGTATTCTTTTCATCCTTTCTAATAGGGACTACTACCATCTTCACCCTTAGGTACGTGTGTGTACCATTCAGCCACGAGGGTCAAGCTGCACCATTTTGTCAAATGGGAAAAATGGGAGAAGAAGGTGGAAAAGAGAGGGCTGGTGGGTGTTTACAACTTCTATTGTATACCATTCGGCGAACTGGGTCACGTTGGACCATTTTCTCAAACAGAAAGGGGAGAAAAAGGGAGGGGGGGGAGGAGGGCTGGCAATTCCATCCCGAATGGCACAAATTATTCCTTCCTTGTAGTCAAAGACAGGTATTCGCGTGTTGCCCTGTACCATTCAGCAAACAGGAGAGCGAACAGGCTCATGCAGGGTTCCCAAGTTTGTGTTCAGTTGTTTACCAAGTCCTGGTATCAATGAGGTGGCATGCTAGGTGCACTTATTGTTGTGTCTATAGTATACAGTGTATACTATATATATATATATATTCTATGCTTGTGGCAGGTTTTTTTCCCCAATTTTTTTTGCGAAGTGTTTTTTTTTTTTTTTTTTTTTTKAAGTATGCAAGGAAAATAAGCAACAGCGAGATGACAAATTCCARATTACATCATCACATTGAAAGCCAGATAGTCACACTGTGYCCAGAGAGCAGCRTTGCACCAATAATAYACCAATGGAGGYTCGTAGTACTGAAAACCAATGTCAAGGAGAGCTTCTCTCTCCGCCACAACACAAGAGTCCAGTCCCTTCACACTCCTACTTGGCGCTCAGCGCCCAGCCTACTCCTACACAGCTACGATCAGCCTCCTAATAGACAATGCAACTGTTGACATCAGCGGCAATCCGAAGTACTTGAAGATGTCGCCCAAATGCAGACCATCGCCAATACAAGGTATGTGCCCTCACATCATTGTCATCATCATCCTTCGCCCTTCCCTGACTTTACACCCACGTCTTCCTCCCTTACACCCGAAGACCACCCCTGCGCCTCACTGTACATCCAAGCCCAGCCCGCTATGAAGGCTGGCTATGGCGCTGCCCTCAGCAGCGCCCTGCTTCACCACACGACTGCACGCGTGCAGCCTCTTGCTCCCAATGCCAGCAGCCAGCCCGCGAGCTATCGCTCCAGCAGCGCTGCCGCCAGCCAGCACGTGACCGAATGCCACTGCCGGGGGAGAGCTCTTTCCTTTATGGAAAGAGCTGGCCTGCTTGCGCAGCCTGGCTGCACTGGCCTGGGCCCAGAAGCTTCCGGAAGGCCCCAGGATGCTGCCTTTGCTCTGCAGCTACTGGGCCTCGTTCGGTTGGGCCTCCCAACTGTCAGTGTATGATGCTGCAATTCACGCCCAGGGCCTGCATTCTTTGGAAAGGCCCGGTAGGCCGTGGAAATGTCTTTGTTGCTCGGCCTGTGTTTCTTTCAACCAACTGGCGCGTCGCAACTGCCTGTACCCCAAATATGAAATTGACAGTCAAAGGCCTCTTGTGATAAGTTAGGCCCGCCTTCACTTAGGGCGGACACCACTGCAACTGGGTTCCCTTAGGCCTGCCGAGGACCCAGATCCTCGCAAATACGAAACCCCAGGCCAGTGTGCTAGAGGGGGTGGTATGAGCATGCGCTGGTGGCGGTTGGTTACATCTGCTCTTCTTTCCTTTTCCAAATAGCTGGCCAAACTTCTGGAAGGGAAACTGTTGGTATTGGTATTGACAAATATTAACTTGTACTTTCTCTATTTTTCATAGAATTTGTCGTGCTTTTTTAGCTACTGCTGTTTTATTTAGTATTCTTTTTGTCAAAATTTGTGAACTTAAGTGGCAGTTGTGGGTTAGCCAACCATTTTGAGTATATCTAACGGATGGTTATGGGATTGTGTTTGTGGGATATTCACACAGATCCACACCGGTCGAATGACCCTTTCAGACGATGTGAACCTGGAGGAGTTTGTCATGACCAAGGATGAACTGTCTGGAGCTGACATAAAGGCTATTTGCACAGAGGCTGGGCTGCTTGCTCTACGAGAACGCAGAATGAAGGTATTTATTTGCCCCATACTCTCCGCCTCAATGAGGTTCAGACTTCTCTGGAGTAAGTGGGCATGTTTTTCTTGTTTTTGGTCAAAGTTGTTTTCCATCAAGACATGCGTTGACATCAGCAATATCAGCTTGCAAACTGATATTATGCTCGCAGACCATTTGATCGGTGCTTTGATGTCAGATATATCAGTTTGCAAACTGATATTACGCCCACAGCAGGGTTGCATCCCTGCCGATCGCCGACTGTATTGCAGCCGACCAGTTGGGGCGACCAGTCGACGGTCTGCCGACCAGTAAAAAAAAAAAAAAAAAAAAAAAAAGTCAACTGATTCTTTTTCAAATTGGAGTCGGGGGGCTGTACTGTACTTGCTGAGTATGGGGGGGTTGGGGTTGTAGTATGGGAGGGTATAGGGGTGGTATAGGGGGTATTGGGGGGGCCCGGGGAGTAACGAGGGTGTTGGGGGCAGATTGGGGGTGGTTTGGGGGGGGGTGTATGGGTGTACTGGGGGACACTATGGGGGTGTTGGATGTGTTATTAGGGGTTCTGGACCCCAAAAAAGTATATATATATATGGGTGCAATCAGACACGTTTTCAAACACACTTTTCACACATGTAAACAGTAACGCAGCACACTGGCGACATGCGCCCACTCAAAACTCAGAGATATGGTTTTCAGATACGAGTTCACTCCCAATTGGCTATGGCGACCTCAGCGCACAAACATCTCACTGTTCACATACACTGGATCACCCTGGATATCCCACACGCATCACTCTAACACTCGAGCACACTCACACACTCACTACTAACTATAGCTATGGCAGCTATGGCTGCCTCTAACCTATCGCTATGCTAACTCCTCCTCTCTTGCCCACTGCGTCCTCCGGGCTCATCTGCAGACCTCCTTGCACAAGTCGCTGTGGCAGCGCTTCCGCATGGCTCACGCAGGAATGAATGAATGGCTGGGCGCTGCCTCTTGATTTATACTTCAGAAATTCGTTGGTCTGCCCTTTGCCATCGGCCCTTGGTGCTCACAGTCCCCCTGTGGTACTTGCTGGACTGGACTGGGACTCTCTAGACCCTTCTGCTGACTGTAGGCAGTCGTACCATCGACTCAGTGCAGTTGCACTGAGGTCCTACCTGTTGACCTTGCCACTTGTCTTCGTCTGAAAACGTGGGCCTACCTTAGATTCACCACTTGACCACTTGCCGAACTTCTAGAAGGACTAAAGCTAGGCCTCTGGACTCTACTTGGACTCCTACCTTACAGGTCTACAGTTCGAATCTCCCTACAGCCTACAACCTACGGCGACCTACTTACCACTGGCTATCGTGCAGGTCACGGGTTCAACTCCAGGGAACTGTGCAGATACTGTACACAGGTAAGCTGAGGTCAAGGGATCGACCCCTGGGATCTGCATCGGCTACTGCCAAAGGTGAAAACTGTTTCAATGGGAGACGATATGGGGCTGATGGGGGATGCTATTGGGGGACGCTATGGGGGTGTTGGGGGCGGTTTGGGGGTGGTTTTTGCGGGGTGCCGACAACCCCTGACCGGTAGGTGCCGACCAGCCGATCGGTCGGCGGGTCGACAGCCGACCGGTCAAGGGCCGCCGAACATCGGGGGGTGCGGGGGGTGCAACAATCGCCCACAGGGCATTTGATGGGTGTGTAAAGGTTGTCAGCAAGGTGGTCTATGCCAAACTCGTTTGGAATTGTCGGGGTGCTCGCTGTTATTCTATGCCAAAGGGTGAAGCTGGAGGGGAATGAGGTTGTGTTTGGGTCACCTGAGATTTCCGCTTCACCGTTTTGCTTTCTTAGGGCTTGGTGGATTAGCGAAGCGCTTCCCAATGTAAAACAGCTGTTGAGAAGCCCAGCTCCCCATGTCCCTGTGTACTGTCCTACCGCCTTCATCTGAATAGAATGTACCGGACTGATGCCCGCCAGAATACAAGGGTTGTTGGGTTATTATAGCTCTGTCTAAACTGAAAGTTGTCCCTTCCTAATACAGCTATAATGACTGTACTTTTTATATGGGGAAAGACGGAAGCACACATTCCCTGTTGCAGCGCCGGGCAAGCCTTCCATCGTGCCTTTGCGTCAGGCAAGATGCAGGGTTCGATCTGTTGCCCTGCATCTTGCCCAGCAGCAAGTGTAGCATAAGAGTGCAGGTATCTGATCCTTGCGGGCATCGGTCTGTCTGTGCTGTGTTCCGGGTTAAAATGAAAGGTCGAGATCGAATCGATCTGTGCCTTCGCGTCATGTCGAGGTCTGTTCGTAGGGCTGAGGTGTTCTTTGGTCTGCTGTGGGCGAAGGGTCTTTCTCTTCTGTGTTGTGTTCAGCCTGTTTGCATCACAGAGTCTAGCAAAGGTACTCTGTTATGTGCTTTGGCTTTGTCTAGCACACGCTACCCCTCTTTATCAGTTCATTTGCAGGTGTAGTTTGGGCTCCTGCTCTCTGCTTTATGGAACATATTACACCTGTTGCCGATGAGTTTTCTGTTCCCCCTAATCTTTCCGTTTCTTCCTTTTTTTATTTAACATGTACCTTGTATGGGCCTTAACGATGTCTCATATATGCCCAGATTATTAGGCACAGTCACAATGTTTGGCTCTGAGTACACCTTGTCATGGGTGTTGTGGTTATGAGACTTGGTACATTTGTGGCTGAGTGTGGTTAAACTGTGGTTAAACTGTGGTTCAACTGTGCTTCAACTGTGGTTAAACTGTGGTTAAACTGTGGTTAAACTGTGGTTAAACTGTGGTTAAAACACTACAGCCTGTATGGTTCCGCTTCTGTAAACCGTGTCATTGCTGTCATAACCAAACTGCCAGTTCACTTGAAGCAAAGTAGGGCTCTTAGCAGTTAACACGGTAAGAGCTTTTTGATTCAGTTCGGGGCTTGCATTGACTGCTGCTGGACACTGTGAGAAGGCCCAGTTGCAGGCTCATGAGCCTTTGAAGGTAGCTTTCTTGACTTAGGCTTATGTGAACTAGTGGTTTAAAACTCTAGTACCTCCGCTAGTGTTGGGAAAATAGTGAAAACTGGCAGTTTTCCCGAACTACTAAAATGTCAGAGGTTGGGCATGACGACAGCTGCCATTGATAAATCTTATCGGCGGACATCGTTTCGTTTCGGCCTTCCTAAAAGGTCGGAGGCCCGCCAGAGGCCCACTATTTTCCCACTCGGCGAAGGTATTAGTGGTTTAAACCGCCAGTACCTCACGGCGGTCCTCGCCCAGTTAATTTTCTCCAACGCGGCCGTTAACGTGCCGCATCGGTTGGAGGTCGTTGGTACAAGGGCCGGTTGCAGCAACAATATGAAAAGAAAGAAAAAAAAAGGAACTTTTCTTTCATGAAGTCGGGGAAGGTTGGTCTAGATGCCGTGGTCACGCTGTTGTTTCAGTGAATCCATCTCACATCTATAACGGTTAGATTCTCTTCGTTGTTTTTCTCTTCTTTTTTTTTTTTCAGTTTGTTCTAGATTCCGTGCCAGCGTGATCCACTCAAACGCCCTCGTTGAGGGCATACTCACACTGGGACAACAACGAATGTATCAAACCAAAATTAGGGCCAAAGTGATGTTTACTTTTCTTATTGTCTTCTTCTACTATCTAGATCCTTAACACGGATGGGACATTTCGTCTTTTTTTCTGTCTTCTTCTACTTCTGAGATTCTGAGGTGAAGGCGACAGGTACGACACGCGGACACCGAGGCTTGCTCACACTCCCACTTCAGGAGAATGTATACAGCTGCATTCACGTACCTAGGGGTGTTGCTTTTTTTTCCTATTTCTTTCGTCTTTTCCCCTACAGGTCCCTCCAGCCTCGTCCTGTCCTGCTACCGGTACCCCCAGGCTCCGTAGGCTCGGCATACCGGTCGCCTGAGGGTCGGACTGCATAGCGGGGCAAGGTACTGGTGGTTCCTCTTGTCGCAAAGGGTCCGGATTCGATTCTGTGCGTGCATGGATGGATCCCAGATGAGAAAGTACCGATCCATGTGCTTGCTTCCGGAGCAGCTGCAGTTGTTTTTTCCCTTTTTTTTCTTTTTTTCCCACTTTTTGATAGGATTTCTCATCGGGCTGCCTGTGGTTAATCAAGCGTTGTGGAAATGGATGTTCTTGCAGGTGACGCAGTCTGACTTCAAGAAAGCCAAGGAGAAGGTTCTTTACAAGAAGAAGGAAGGCGTTCCGGAGGGTCTCTATATGTAAATAAACGTGGAAGTGATTTTGATTTCCAAGTGCTCGCATTTTTCACAATTCTCTAGTTCGAACTTGTTGCGGGGATCGTCTTTTTCCTCCTCCATCTCTGCGAGTATCTTGCGGGAGTCACCTGGAAGCATTGCCGACATAGTTCGGAGAATTTCATTGTGTCCTTTACTCTCTTAACCTTGGTCTTTGTCGAGTCAGTAAGAATTTCACTGTGTCCTTTATTGCTCTACCCGGTAAGAATTTCACTGTGTCCTTGACCTACTACTACCACCACCTTTCGTTCCATCTCCTGTGTCCGTCTCATTAGGTGAAATCACATTCTCACAGCTTTCCTCCTCGCAGCATGGCGCTGAGGCAGCTTTTTACTTGCTTTCCTCTGTATGCCTGTTCTGTGTCTGATGGTGTGGTGCCACATCAACTGCTTTGTTTGACATCTTATGATTGACATGTAGTCCACGGCGAAGTGTTTACTCATTGTCCACGCGCTCGGCCATTCTGACAGTGTCCTGCTTTGTTGTTCTGGTGTCTCTGCCTGGGTAATAACTGTGAGCCCTCGGGGCCGTAATGTGGGCCGTGCAGGCATGCCCGCATGAAAAGATCAGCACGACAATCTCTCTCTCTCTCTCTCTCTCTCTCTCTCTCTCTCTCTCTCTCTCTCTCTCTCTCTCTCTCTCTCCTGTCTCTTATACACATCTAGATGTGTATAAGAGACAGCTCTCTCTCTCTCTCTGTCCCCTGTTGGTGTGTGGGTGTGCGTTTGGGTTTCCGCTGTGTAGCCGCATCCCATGAAAAAATAAGACAATATCACTGGGCCCCGCGTTTGGGAGGAAGTTGATATCATGTGTATGATGCCCTCAGGATGTTGACACGTTTTTCACACTTAGAGGATCATGTGTTTGGTTTTGAGAAACGACGATGCAGGCGGATGACACTTGTGCAAAACTGGAGCTTAATGAGGCACCATGCAGAAAATAATATCACAGTGGGATCTCGCCGCCAAGGACCCACATTACCACAGCCTGGCGGCTGCCTCACAAGGTTGTTATTGGAATTCTTTCAGAAGAAATTTCTTGTCTTACGTTCTTGCAAACGCCTCACACAGTTAGTTATTCCAGGAATTCTTTCAGCAGAAATTTCTTGTCTTACGTTCTTTCGAACGCCTCTACTATGTAACATTACACTACATCAATTGGACAAATACATGTATGAGAGAGAGAGAGAGAGAGAGAGAGAGAGAGAGAGAGAGAGAGAACAATGTGCACTCGCACGGCACAACAGCTCCGGCGCCAACTTCGGTGAAAAAAGGGATCTGGGGATTTGTGGGATGACTCGAGCGGCTTGTGGAAGGCAACAGCAACCCAAATAAAAGCAACTCCCCCCCCACCAAGGATCTGGAGGGTAAATTTGGCACCCTTATAGGTGTGCCACTCAGCTGGGTATGAGGACTTTAGGGCTGATGGTGATTTACCAAGTACAAAACATTAAACCTCCAGTACCTCGCCCAGCTATCAAGTCCGAGCCTTTGGCTACCAGTAAGCCGACCCTTGCCCAGCCTAGAGCTACCGGTAGCCGAAGTTTCTTCATTTCAAAAGAGAGAAAAAAAAAAAAGGAACGAGATTGTAAAAAAACGAGATAAATGAAGAAATCCCACACAGAGAGAGAGAGAGAGAGAGAGAGAGAGAGCTCCATTTGAACGAGTCTTTCACACTAACATGGCAAGATTTATTCGAGGTACTGCATGTGGAGGTGGAAGCAAAGGCGCGCGAGGAGAGCCACACAGAGAGAGAGAGAGAGAGAGAGAGAGAGAGAGAGAGAGAAAGAAAGAGAGAGTGAGAGTGGCATGGGGAGCTGTGCGGACTGCCGCGGCAAACTCGGCGTTTAGGGTGCAGGGTTGGGGCCGCCGATGGGGGCCATCAGCCCGGCTAAAATAGGGACCGAGCATTTGCCTCCCTTTTCATCTTCCCCCATAAGTTCCATGATGTGCCAGAACAGCAGCTGAAATATGTGAGGTGAGAGAAAAATATATTGTCTACCGCGTGGACGCGGGGAACGCAGCCCTAAGGTAACCAAATCAATGAGACTAAGAGCTCGCACAAGAGAGAGAGAGAGAGAGAGAGAGAGAGAGAGAGAGAGAGAGAGAGAGAGAGAGAGAGAGAGAGNGTGAGAGAGAGACAGAGAGAGAGAGAAAGAAAGAGAGATGGAGAGAGAGGGAGGGGGGGGCCTACCACAGAGAGAGAGAGAGAGAGAGAGAAGAGCGGCTGAATGGCAAAATTGAAATACGGGTCAAATTGTGACCGCGATCTATTTCGGAGTTGGAATGATTTTTTTTAATTTATTTAGCGTTTTTCCTGGAAAGATCACAACAAAATCTACGGGTACTCCAATTTTCAGGTTTTCTCACGCATTCTTCTGAAAGTGAAAACTCACCAAATTGCAAAAACTTCTTAAGTTGGCCCGCACATGGCTGAGTGGCAAAAATGGAAAATGTGGTGAATCGGCACGACGATTATTTCTCGGTCTAAATAATTTTTTTTAATGTTCTAATATTTTTCCTGGAAAGAACACGACCTCATCTATGGATTCTCAAAATTTCAGATTTTTCTGCGGGTTCCTCCGAGCACAGAAAATCGCTAAAGGTGGCTCTTGCAAAATGCCTGTTTCGTTGCGCCTGATCTCCCTGTTTTGAGAAGTCGGGCCTCAAGGCCTGGGCCTGAGGGCACATGCCCTCACTTTGTTTTGGGGTCCGGTTTCACCAGTGGACCCGTCCAACGCCCCCCACTTCTTTTGGGGGTCCACTTCCACCCGAGGACTGGTTCTACCGGAGCTAGCGGTACGTAGTCCGCAATTTTGGCAAGGACCGGTTCCCCAAATTCTTTTACCCCCTAAGAACCCACTTTGCGTCCTGGTCGCCCGCCGCCAAAAATGCGACACCTTGACACAGACGCGGAACCCTAGTAGACCGCAGCTTTAGGGCTGCGAATATAGCTGCCCTCCAATGAGGAGAAGAACAAAAATCCAAAAAAAAACCAAAAAAAACGAGGAGAGTCGGTTCGATTGCAATTCTGGACAAAATCTATTTTTTACAGGTTCCCCCCCCCCCCCCGGGATCTTGGTGTCCCCCTGCAGTTGCCACAAAGTTATTTCCGGGTGAATATATTGCCCGGGTCATTTCTATACAATGCCCGGGCGTTATTTTCGGGTGAAGACAGTAGCATCATGAACAACCAGTGAACGTCAGTGAGGCCGACTCTCACGACTCTTCGCTTATTGTAGTAGATCGTCTCCTCGGCGGATTGCTACACTCTAGCTGTGTGTGTTAGAAAAAATGTGTAATGGCAGTCTGGGTATGGGCATCATGGGACGCGCAATGGAGACGACTAAGGAACCAAGACTTTGACTGGAATATCTGTCTCATTGTATTGGGAAAGTAGTCTGGGTATGGGCATCACGGGACGCGCAATGGAGACGACTAAGCAACCAAGACTTTGACTGGAATATCTGTCTCATAGTATTGGGAAAGTAGGAGGACCCCCGTCCCATTGGACACCATTCCAAGGTAACTATTTACATGAATGTGCATGGCTGCTCTTATGGAAACCCTCTGGAGAATGAGGTGTGGAGTAGAACACAAAGATAGCAGGATGGATATGACTGAACATCATCATCGCGAAAGAGAGCAGCTGAATTTCAAAAATCTATGAAAGAAGTTCCAATCCACATTCAATCAGATTAAACCACGAGTACCTTTCCCAGCTATCAAGTCCGATCTTCCGGCTACCGGTATGCCAAATGTAATTGTGTCCTTCAAAGATCTCTGGATTGACCAAAGAGAGCAATTGTCTCAATAATTCCTTGCATCAAGGATGGGACAAGGAAAAGGAAACCCTACAGGTAAAACGCTGTTCTTGCAACGCACTTATCTTCGGGGCTGAAAATACTTTGCGCAGCCAAAAAAAATAATTAAATGAATCAGCACAGGTGACTGATTGCATGCAAGCCGCGTATTTTATGCTTTAGCTGGAAAACGCAGTGATGGGACTTGAAAATATTGGAAGAGTTTTGGAAGCTCAGATCCACCACTCCCTGGGTACAACTTCCAAGTCATAGTAGAACATCCACTCCCCCCTCTGATCCTCCTGGTCACCAAATCACCGGACACGGGCGTCGGGAAAGAGCCCCCATAGAGCTATCCCAGTTACAGACTTGCCTGCCCAACAAGGCTCCTCGCACGCAGAAGCTCATAGTAACGAAAAAGTCAATCGCTGTGAAACCCCAAACCCTGGATGTGTCACTCGTCACTCCCAATCCCACCTGATCCCCCCCCTAGGCCCCTGTAAAGTTTCCAATCCTTTCTCTTCGCCATCATCCCAGCCCACCCGTGGCGGACGGGAGACGAGCTCAAGACCAAATGGCCTGCAGAGGGGAGGAGTCGTATACTTATGGGACAACATTGGAGTGAGCTAACTCGGGCACAGGTCGCCAAGCTTGAAAAGCGACGGAGGAAGTGATGCAGGGAGTCTGCGAGACGAGGAAGGCCAGTGATAACAACAGGTGCAACAACGGCGTACAAGAGGATAGGGGAAGCAGGTGGTTTGCCTTGCAATCTACGCTGGACCGCCTAGGGTCTTTGGGAAGTCGCAAAATAACAACAATGTACGGCCGCCTTGGGGAATATCTCGAGGAAAGCGGGCAACATGCCATACGACCGCCTAGGGAATGGACCTCAGGGAAGCACGTAATAACTCACACATGTGGAAGACCTTGTCTCCTACACAAGAAAGGATAGCAATACAGCAACATGATGCCTTACTCTATTGTATTGTTAAGTTGGACACTGAACGCAGTTTTAGTAGTTGTCGGCCTCCATAAACAGACCGACGCCCCTCCCCACGAAGGGCTTCTATTGTGGGCTGCTCATATTACCTGACAATAGTAACCCCGAACAGCAACAACAGACTAGCGACTGTAGGAGTTTGGCGGGCAGGGGGGCCGGGGGGGGGGGGGGGGGGGGGGGGCGCGACGGCAAGATATTCTACTCTGTACTGCATAGCCTTTGCATGGTCCCCTTCCATAGGGGCACCTCTTGCTACATAGCCTGTCAGGACGTACTGAAATATTTTAATGGGATATTTGGTTATCATTCAACCTTGCAAAAGGCTTGCAATGCTGCCTTGGTTATGTACACAGTCAGCAAACGAGAAGGAGCCTAAATCGATAGAATTGAAATAACACATCTCGTACTTCAGTAATACAAATCCTTCGGCGCTCATTTGGTCGGATGAAACATAGTAAGTAGTCGCTGGTCACTTTTGACATCGGTGAACGTCATACCTTTTGCTTTGGAAAGAGATCATGCATGAGATACTAGAGGCAATTTTGTTTTCTCATAGCGAGAAAACGCGTTCTCCTTATCAGTACTTAGTCTAAATGATCAAATGCGGTGGAGGGTTCCACCAATAATTATTCTTTCCTTCTTTGTTCCAACTCGGGTAGCACCTGATACGCGTATGCAAGGAGTATGCATGCATACGTACTCCGGAGTATATGTATTTACCCAAGTTTGGTTGGGAATTCTCGGAACTCCCAACCAAACTCGAGTTAAAAATAAAAAA